CTTGACTGAATAACAGCTTGGTTTTAAGATCAGGAAATCACAGTGCTATTGCCATCACCATGACAACACAGGGTTCCTTTGTCTGGCTTCAGGCTATGTGCCACCCATGTGCTTTTATTCCCTTGAAAGCCCAGCCAGAGGCATCTGGCTGCCTGCATTCCACACCTTTTTCCCCAGGTCATCCGGCAGCAGGCTTCTCCCAACTACTAGCGCAGGTTGCCGCTGAGGGGCTTAGCAGCGCACATCCATCACTCTAAACGATGCTACTAACCCTATAGCACTGACCGTCGGGCGATCGCTGCAAGCATTGATTCATTCCTTCCCATGCGCCCCGGACTAACTTCCTTGGCGCGGTTGCAAGGGAGCTTTCGATGGATGGTCGGCTGAGCATGATTTTGGTGGCGGTCGCACTAGCTGGAAGCCAACAAATTAGCAGGTCATGCCATGTCGTGCCAGGTCATGCCACGGCTGCCGATCCACACAGATCCCCCGGATGTGCAGCTCACGCTCATTGTTACCTATGGCTATGACGCAGTTTGCTCCTGTCTTGTATAAACAACTCGCTTATCCAGATCTTCACACTCGGTGATCGGGACGCTAAAGACAACACACACTGCAGACTCTGCATCAACTGGCTTCCCATATTCGGGACTGGACTGTCTAGCTTACTCCGAAAACATTATGTCTCCTTTGCACGCTTATAGGCTGCAATATCGGCAGCCCAATACACCAAGATGACCTGTCCCTCATTTCTACACACCACAACTGGCGCCGTCCTCAGCTAATGAAGCAGCATGCCCCTACTTATCCCTTATCAGGGGCGTTGGTCGCACAGCACCTTTGACTCAAATGAGCTGCAATTCCACTTAAGTCTGCACTGTTCAGACAACCGCCTTCCTACACCTACCCCGAAAGCAATATAGAGAGCTGCTCTCCCACCTACCTGTATAAGCCGACAGCCCAAACTGACCACCCGATATCACCACTACAACAATCTCCCCACACCATGGCCTCCCCCGCGCAAGCCATCACGCTCGAAGAGCACGCTATATTCCCATCCCTCGAAAGCAATAACTTCTTCTACGACAACACATGGAAAATCTACCCTGAATGTCGCAACCTTGCAAAAGACATCTCCAAAGCCCGTCTCGCCAACATGGACGCCGGCAACGTCTCCTACCAGATCCTCTCCCACCTTCCCGGCGGCGTCGCCTCAACCGACCCCGCGCGCTGCCACGCAGCCAACAACGAGATGGCCACCGCCATTCAACAGCATCCGGACCGATTCGGCGGCTTCGCAGCGCTTCCTATGGCCCACCCCATTGAAGCGGCCAAAGAACTCCGCCGCACCGTCACCGACCTCGGCTTCCTCGGTGCCCTAATCGACAACCACCTCCCGGACGGAACAACCCACTACGACGACAAACGCTTCTGGCCCGTCTTCGCAGCCGCCGAATCCCTCGACGTCCCCCTCTACATCCACCCTTCCACACCATCCCAGGATTCCATCCAATCCCGCTTCTCCGGCAACTATCCACTCGCTGCAGAACTCGGCCTCGCGTCCGCAGCCTGGGGCTGGCATGAGAACGTAGGACTACACATATTGAAACTCTACGCGGCGGGAGTATTCGAGCAATACCCCAAACTCAAGATAGTAATCGGACACATGGGCGAGCTGCTCCCGATCATGTTGCACCGGATCGCGAGATTGGGGTTTTTCAAGGGGTTGGCGGCATCGAGACGCAAGGGGATTATGGATGTCTGGAATGAGAATATATGGGTTACAACGAGTGGAGTGTTTAGTGTTGAGACGTTGATGATGTTGTTGCAGGTTACGAAGGTGGAGAGGGTTATGTATAGTGTGGATTATCCGTTCGAGGATAATGTTACGGGAAAGGAGTTTCTGAAGAAGGTGAGGGAGTCCGGGAAGTTGTCGGCGCGGGAGGTGGATTTGATTGAGTTTGGGAATGCGAGGGAGTTTTTGAGGTTGGAGAGTAAAGCGTTTCTTTGATTGGGTTGGGGTGGGCATTAGAGGGTTGAGGGGTGAGTGGTTGAGTAGTAGATGAGGATAGAATGGATTGGGTTATGGTATAGAACAAGAGCAGGGTTCTGATCGGCGAAATAAACTGACGCAGTACAATTCGTTTCGTTGTATAATTGCTTCTTTACTGATTTGTCATGAACGGTCACGACGCTTCCTTGATAGAAGACACCGCTATGGTCACACGGTACTAGTATGCTCGACTTTGATGACCGATACCCCCGTCTCTTCTGCCTTTTCAGCCTCGACTGTGCCCTCCTTTACGACTACATCCTCGGGGAGCATTCCCAGGGCACGTCCACCGAAGAGCAGATCGATCTCTTCGAGTGACTTCTGGTTTGTTTCCTTGAAGAAGAAGTAGACGGTTGGAAGGGTGATGCATACGTCTGTTTCGAATTAGATGGTTAGCAGACAAGCAGTAAGGGAAAGGGAGGAATATAGGGAAACCGAGTTGGTAAAGGGTATGGGTTACTCACTCCACGCCGCAAACACGAAATAAAACTTCCACTGGATCTTGTCCAGCGCGATCGGAGAGACCTGATTCCAGAGGGTACTTACGGCCCAGTTGCCAATGGCAGTGGCGAAGGCGTTTCCTCGACCGCGGATCTGCATTGGCATTACTTCTGCCATGTAGACCCTGTTTATCGATAGCATGTTAGAGGGCAACAGTATCCATGTTAGTTGATAGTTTTGGGAGAGGCACTAACCAACTGCAAGGGCCGAATGATAGAGAAAAGATAACAGTGATACAGAAGATGAAGAAAACGCCGCCGATACTGTATCCCTTTCGGGTACCGTCCAGGTTCTGTGAGTAGAGAGCTGCTTCGCAGATTAGGGCGATGGTGATTGCGATGGTACCGAATAACATGGGCTTGCGGCGCCCAACTCGGTCGAGGAGGAAGAAAATGAAGATGAAGTTCGTGATGGGACCGACGCAGTTGTAGATTCCTGCTACCAGGGTGTTGCGGTTACCTGTGATGCCGAGGGCGTTGTACATGATTGTCTGGTAGTAGTTTACGACGTTAACGCCCGTCATTTGGGTGAAGACTTGGACAGCGATGCCGTGCCTGTTTGGGTGGGATGTTAATAGAATGCGGGGTTAAATTAAGGTGTCGGTAGGAGAAGGAAACGCACATGAGTCGGGTTCGCCATTGAGGCACACGGAACATGATGAGCCATCCGGGGACTGTGACAGCTTTTTCGGCTTCGATAGTGGTCTTGATCTCGTTGTATTCCGTCTGGATCCAGTCCTCGTTGGTGCCGTCGAAGTGTAATCTTCTGAGAATCTTCATCGCTTCCTCGTAGCGTTCCTTTTCGATCAGGTACCGAGGTGATTCAGGCATGAAGAACATGCCTATAACGAGAAGAACGGCGGGGACGGCCTGAAAGGCAAGTGGGAATCGCCATTGAAACTCGCTAGTATCCGGCGCATGAAGGGAGCCGTAGCCGACCCAGCTAGTCTTGGGTTAATGTTTTCCTTGTCTGAATTATGCAGACATGGTTGTGGTGGTGGTATACATACGTACTGACGATGAATCCAACCCCGATCATCTGCTGGGCTAGACCGATGATGAACCCACGTGAACGGGGATGAGCGACCTCTGCTTGATACACTGGGACAGACATAGACATGAGACCAACTGCCCAGCCGGCCAGAATACGACCAACAAGGATCATAGCCAGGTTCTTCGCTGACGATTGAAGAATAGCGCCAACCATGCAAATGAAAGCACCCATCTGGATAGTGAACTTTCGTCCGAAGCGATCCATCGTTAGACCTCCCTGGAGAGCGCCAATGCAAGCTAGCAGCCATTGTTAGCCAGCAGGGCAATACATGGAATGAAGAAGGTCCGAGCCAGGGAGAAGAACTTACCACCTCCCGAAAATGTGCTGTTGATAGCACCGATGATGTTTGACGTCTGGGTGGTGTGGAAGAAAGTCAGAAAATTCTTCGACTCGATTACGTCCGTCATGACACCGCTGTCATATCCGAACAGGAAAGACCCTGTAGCTGCAAATGCAGCCAGGCCAATTGTAAAGTATCGACCCATCTTGAAATGCCGATCGATATATTTTGGTGTGTGAATCTCTTAGGCCATGAAGTAGTGTTGAGTGAGATATTGAACGGCAGAACTTATACAAAAAAGCACAGGAAAGGACCCCGAGCGGGGGTGGGGCAGATAACATGGCCTATATACGTCAATTCCCTGCCAAGCCTTGTTCCGGGGTCAAATCCATGGAGATTTGAACAAGCTCATCGTTTTGGCATGCGTCAGACTGGGGACTGTTGACCGGTGGACGAAAAGGCCGATGGCGGAGCGAGGGTTAGCAGGAAGCTTGAAAATCCGGGGTGGCCGGCCGGCCCGGGACTAGCATGGCCATCTCGCTCCTGATTGCGTTCGCGCCAAAGTAGTAAACTTCCCCAGCCGACATGATTGGCGTTCGACGCACTAACGAAAGAGGCACCGGTATGGTCAGCCCGTGCGCGGTTGCAGTCCGCTTGAGGAACTCTGGCGGCCAGCCGGAGAAGGATTCTGCCTCAATGACAGCCACTAGGGCGTCTCATCCATCCAAACCGAGCTTTTGGTAAACCAATAGGGTATTTGAGTTCCGGTTCTCCAGGTTTCGGGTATGGTGACTACCCAATCTTCTGGCCACTGCTGTCTATAATTGTAGCATTGCTCGTCCGGGGTAGCGGCCCAGGTTGCCGTGGCAGGCAGGCTAGCAGTGGTCTAGGGCAGTCTAGACATGAGACTAATCCTGACGTGCTGCATGGTCAAACAAGGTGCTGCGGTGACAGGTTGAAGTATAGAGCAGAAGTTGAGGCGGGATGTAGTTTCTGGTCGGGCACATGATGTTCCCATGTGCCCTTGAGTCTTCCTTCTACTACAAATTGTCTGCGACTCACCTTCATTTCAGTCGGATCTCTATCATGGAAGTCTGTTGTGCAGCACGAGGGACGAAGGCATAAATGCGGGGTAGGCGCAATAGCAACTACGCTTTCCAACTCCACTAACGTCCGCTCATCTCATGAAGCTTCAAAGCAAGCAAACTGATCACGCACAATTACCCTTTTGGACAAGGAAGAATAGCCGACTGGTTAAATGCACGGCAAACGTGGCGTGTCAATGGAAACTCAGAATGAATCTCACGTCTCGATTGACGGAATCTGGTTAGCCAAGCCAAAAGGATTGCAGCTTATACAAGCTCTTCGCACCAATCCGACGAAGAACGGAACGCCCGATCTCTTGCTATACGCCATGGGACCCCCGAAGATATTGACAAGTAGCGGCCTCCATCTCAAAGATATTATCTCGATGGCGAATAAATAGAATTGAATAGAACTGAGAAAACATGATTCTCTGTTGCCTGAGAAGTGTACGGGTGTAGCATTAATAATCGAAATTGATCAGGCCGGACTTGGGCAGCTTGGACAATTTACGTGGAAAGTAATACGACTTGCAGCTAACAATGGCTGGTACTGCAATGATCTTGATCGGTAAACCTGTCTTGAGTCTCTACCCAATTTATAAAAAAAATAGATGGAGAAGAAGACACAAAAGATGAATTCAACGAAGCTTGAGCGTACAAAATGTTTCTTTACTTGTATAAGCATCTGGGGTTAAGTTGAAGGCATGCCAGCATGGCATATTATAAAATCAAGCTTTGATGCTATAAATTGCCTGTTCAATATCTATCAGCTCATCAGCTCGCTTCACAGGTCCTCCCCAGCGCACTCCTCCTTCGGCGTCAACCGCCCAATTGCCACTCAACTGCCATCGACTACCACTCTCGGTAGGCCTGTTCCAGATCCCCCTTTCCCACCCCAACTTCCCGATAGCTAGAAGTCCAGCTGGACTCAGGACATGGCCCCAAGAAGTCACTCCTAGGCCCCATTGCGCATAGATCTTGCACTCAGCATCGACAATGACCGTCACGGGGTTAGAGCCAGATTCCCCGGTCCCACCAATAGATTCCAACCATCTTTCTGTTGATGGCTGGTCGCTATGCGACACAGCGACAAAGTTGATCTCAGGGTGATTCTCAGCGGCAGTGCGCAACTCGAGAAAAGTTGCTTCCGCCACTGCAATTATCATTAGGCTAGTGAGCAACAGTTCATTCGAGACCGGACTAACCAGGACATCCACAGTGCCTGAGGAATGAGATGATGGTTGGTCTGTTGTTGTCGGCTGGGAGGGGCAGTTCTGGGCAAGAGGGAGCTTTATCTCCAGGCTGTGGTGAAGGAGAGAGCTGCACAGCTGGCGGCGAGAGCCATGAGGCGGCTTCTTGCGACAGGGACATACTGCGAGTACTATTCATCACTGACGTATATTAAGAAAATCAAAAATTAGTGACTGAATAACCAGGAGCGCATGTATGTTTGACGTGAGAAAGTTCTGCCAGGCTCCAACTCATAATGGTGAGCTAACAGCTCGGCCCAGCCCGCGCGCCCAAGACTCCAATTGAAGAATGCCGTCAGGGTCCCACCAAGTTGATTCGGTCGAGCGAGTCATCATTGCCGCCTAAATCGAATGCTTCCTCATCCATTGCTTTTCCACGTCGCTCGATGCAAGGGAAGGAAAAATGTCCTCGACACATCGATCTAGTACTGTGCCGCCAACCCTTTCCTCTTCGCCTCGATCGGACTCCTTCATCCGGGCGAGACAACCAAGTCTCGACTTGGAACATGACCTTCTCTCCACCCGTGGTCAACGCCTTGGAGGACTAATACGACGACGCTCTCTCAGCGTCCAAAGCGCCGATAATCCGTATGACAGTGATCGTCTTGATGAGTCTGTCCCCCAAGATCGCGGGGATAGGCCTCTCGCTCTTGAGCGCGCTAAGCGACTCATCGGCGAGAGCAGGCCTATTTATCGTTGGTATGCCGTTGCCCTTGTTTCACAGCTCAGTAGATATCTACTAACGATGAGCTACAGGCAACATTTCTTTCAAGACCCGTCTACGCTGAAGAAGATGCCAAAGGCCATGTATGTTCCCTCCTGTTATCTCAACACTGCGATCTAACAAGGTCACAGGCGCGAGTATTACGAGCGCAACAATGACCTGATATCGCAATATGTCTTTATCGACCGACTGCTGGACTCTTCCCTCCCACATCGCCTGATTGTGGACTATCACAGCAACCAGCCAGGAGAACCCCCAGCCTCAACCAACGGCCGGGCATATGACGCAATCTCCTACGGAACAGCAGACTCTCAAGCATCCGGCAAAATCAAAAGAACGCCCCGGAATCTCTATCGCATTCCCAGCGAGAGTGAGACCTCTCCGCTCCTGCCCCCGACGATCGAAGAACGAGCAGCATCACCCCCAGACATCATTCCATCAACCGATGAGTTCGTCGACAGCAGCGACCGGATAGTCACCGTCGCGATCTACGTCAACTTCGTCGCCAACATCCTCCTCCTAGTCGCAAAGATTGTCGCTATGACCATGACAAACTCATTATCCGTCCTGGCCAGCTTAGTCGACGGGGCATTGGACTTCCTCAGCACAGCCATAGTCTGGATCACGACCACCCTGATCCGTCGACAAGACCGCTCCCGATACCCGATAAGCCGTCGTCGACTCGAACCACTCAGCGTATTAGTCTTCGCCGTCGTGATGGTAACTTCTTTCGTGCAAGTCGCGCTCACCTCCTTTACACGACTCATCTCTTCCGACCACTCCGTAGTCGACCTATCCCTCCCTTCCATAGCCGTCATGGCTAGCACAGTCATCGTCAAGCTCATCTGCTGGTTCTGGTGTCGACTGATCAAAAATTCGAGCGTCCAGGCACTAGCCCAAGACGCCATGACAGACGTGGTCTTCAACTTGTTCAGTATTCTCTTTCCCCTGAGTAAGTCCCCCCCCCCCCCCTCCTCCCCCTAATAATTTCCCCCAACCCCAGGGCAAACCTACACCACTAACCAACCCAACCCAAAGTCGGCTCCCTAACCAAAACCTGGTACATCGACCCATTAGGCGGTCTTCTCCTCTCCCTCTACATAATCTACAACTGGAGCGCCACAGCCAGCGAACACATCGGCCACCTAACCGGCGCGGCAGCATCACCCAAAGACCACAGCATCCTGCTGTACATGACGATGCGGTTCTCGAAAGCGATTCTCAAGATCCAGGATCTAAAAGCGTATTACGCAGGGGATCGACTCAACGTCGAGGTAGATATTGTCCTGGACCCAAAGACACGACTCCAGGATAGTCATGATGTTGGAGAGAGTCTGCAGTATATGGTGGAGAGTGTGCCTACGGTGGATAGGGCTTTCGTGCATATCGATTACGATCCGTGGAATATTCCGAGTCATATGAATCAGGTGGAGGGGTGATTTCATATCTTTTCATTTATTGCTTAGGAAATGGAGTGGTTGTAAGGAAGAAAGAGAGTTAATGAAATTGACATTGAATCAATTGGTCGTGTCTTTTGCTTTTTTAGTAACTTATGCAGTAACTACTACTACGTAGTAGTAGTATTAGTAGAAAAAAAATGTTTGGTGGTAGGTTGTGTTTATTTGTACCCGTAACAAAAACCCAGAAGCAAAATAACAAAAGAAAAGGGGAAAAACACGAAACCTAACCGAAAGAGGTAAATAGTTATGATCAATACGGAAGTAGCATTTGTATCGCGATAATTTTCTGTCAACGAACGAACGAACAACCATCAATAAATGGAACCTCGAAAACACGTCAATAAGCGCGATTGCGCGAGACCCGGTTATACTTACTGTAAAGAAAGCAAGAAAAGAATACTAAGTTAGAAAACGCTACGCGCGGTGGCGGGAGGCGGTGGTGATATTTCCGCTCGCCTGGAACGACCGTTACATGCACTAGTAGTACGTAGTTAACTGTCTCTATTGAGGACCTTTCGGGGTGGAAGTGTGGGTGGGTTGAACTGCAGCAAAGCAAGCATCCATCAATGGATAGTTACACAGACAGATTGAAAAGTGACTTCATTCACAATGATAAGACAAGGACAGCCTGCAGATCCAATCAGCAAGGGAAAGAGGGCTTCGACTCAAGGGGGGAGGGACATGGGGACATTCTTTGGAATGAAAGAAAGGAAAGCCTCGCCCCTCGTGCGGGCGGAGAATCGGCCGAGCCGCAGAAAGTCAGAGCGGAGAACCAGCCGGAGGAACTGGACCATACAGTACCGGGTGTACGAGGATACTATACACTTACCACGCCTCCGCGGTGCCCGCCCGCGTCCACATCGCGACGCGATTAGATGAAGCGTCTTTTTTCTCCGGGTTGGGGAATCGTTCCCACATCACACCGGATCTCCTGCTCACGTCCGCCTCGCCATTTTACTTAGGTCACGGCCCGCGTCTTTACCTTTCCTTTTCTACTTTCTCTCCACGCATTCCCTCTTGCTCTCCCTCTCCGTCCTCCTATGCTGTTAACTCGGCTTACGGCTATTTACCATGTCTGATCCGGAGCCCTCTGCTGCACCATGTTCCTCCTCGCCGCCCTCAACCCAGGCGTCCGACTCGGCTGCTGCTCTTAATTACGCCTTCCTTGTTCATTCCCAAAAGACCCTAACTCAGAATCTTCCTCCACGCGTCGATAATAAATTGCTGGCACGGCAAAAGCGGCGTCGGACTAGGTATGCACGGAATTCAATTTCAGTCCTCATTGGCCCAATGGGTCTCGCTGCCAGCAGATCGCTAACACGTCACTGCTGTGCTCATATAGCCCCGAAGACCACGCAATCCTTGAAGCCGAGTATCAACGGAACCCGAAACCAGACAAAACGGCCCGAGCCAGTATAGTCAGTCGCGTCTCGTTGGGCGAGAAGGAAGTGCAAGTATGTCTGCGTACCACGTAACCTCCACGTCTGACGTGCGATCTAATGTGTCTGGATATTAGATCTGGTTCCAGAATCGTCGTCAAAATGATCGCCGGAAATCGAAACCATTGCAACCTCATGAGCTTCTCGCGCCTCGGTCGGACGTGTCCGACGCGTCAAAACGGGTATCCGATGACAACCTACCGACAGAGCCAGGATCTTCGAGCGGGACAGAGCAATCAGAGGACAACTGCCAGGACAGGAACGTTGCTTCGCAATCGTCCGATCATGCGTCTTTCGAATCCGACGTGGTGCATGGCGACAATAATGAGCTAGAGCAGTCAGGGTTGAGTTCTCAAACAAGCCTCGCTACAGAAGCTGTGGAGGACTCGCAGAGAGCCCCAGACGAAACGATGCCAGAACAACAACCAGCCCTGGTGCACGATGAAACCCATGTCAATGATTCCAACCTGACCTCTGCTAAGAGGAAACGATCATTTTCCGAAACCCGTGGCAATCGACCGTTCGTGCAGGGAACATCTACACCGATGAAGTCGCCGCCATCCTTGCGGATATCGCTCTCGTTCGACGGAGAAGCTATGGTACGCAAAGAAGATGAGCTCACGCCATCTCCTCCGAAAGGACGAAATGCCCTGCGGATCGCCATGTCCTCTGATGGAAAAGCTGTGATCCGTGCTGATGGCGAACCGTCCCCGTCAAAGAACCGCATTTCTATGTTCTCAGCGCGAAAGCCCAGGATTGCAGGACTTCGAAGGAGTAACAGTGCTGCGGCATTTAGTACGCCGCGCGGTGGCTCCATGGAGACCGAAAAGTTGTTTGGAAGATCAAGAGATCCTCGCAACTGGGAATCCTTTTTTGACACTGATGCAAGAAGTGCACTTTCTACTCCGACCAGCTCCCAAAGCGCACCGAACGCTGGCTCTCCCGCTCTATTCCGCGCACGTGGTCAGCGTTCACTAACGAGGAGCATGTCGGCAAGGCATAGCAACGCCTTGAACGCTTCCGAATATCTTAATACCCCTGTCCCTAAGCCGACTGGCGACAAGAGACGCAAGATCTCCCGCACGGTCTCTTCATTGGGCCGACTGGAGACTGGCCGTGCAACCCTTGGTGACAAGTTTTCTAATTCGAAGACGATGTCGACGAAAGACGATGACCTGGAGTTACAGTGGGGCGATTCGGATAAGGAGAACTGGATACCGGGCACACGAACCTCCCATGTCCGCCGGCGGACCGCTTCCCATCATCACTCCCGGCGTTCCATACTCAGAGAGGCCAACAGCAGGGATGGCAAAGCTAACAGGGATCTGGCATCCGGCGGAAGATACTCACGGGTGTCTCAGCACCAACGAGTGAGCGGGGTAATCGACAAGGATGTGCCAGAGATGGACGCCGAGGTGTCGGCTTTCATGAACGGCGGGGGAGGTGCAAGTCAGGAAGAAGACCTTGACTGCATTCAAGGCTTGCTATCTCTGAGCCAAGGGGCATGGAGATGAGATAAGCTTCCCCTTGTGTTTTTGTGAGATGATCATCATTTCCTTTGTTTCTTTCTTTTCATCATTCCCCCTTTGTTTCATATCCATTTCTTTCCTTTGTAATGTCAATATTGGAGGTTACAGGCCAGCAAGCGGGTGATTGTGTGTATGATTGTGAGATGATTGCTTTACGTTCCCATAAGGTGCAGCTCGCAGGTTTGCTCCAGGCAGCTGCAACCATGGGTCCGGACTTGATGACGAAACCCTGTGCCACGCCACAGATGATATCCAAGTGCTATTACAGCCGAATAGCCTAATACAAACAAACAATGGAAGATGATAGAATAATTGGCTTGTTTGATACGTAAGCGCCTGTGATGGACTGATCCGGATAACCAGGGCGAGGCGGGGGTGAAGGGGGGAATGGTAGGGAGTAGATAGGCGGAGTAGGTGGACTGCAGAAGATGGCTGTGGGCGGGTTCTGCAAGCACGTGGCTTCCCGCTGACATATAACCGCCGGGTCTCGTCCGTCTCCCTGATAACTACGAAGTATTCGCCTCGTTATCTTTCTCTCCGCCACCCGTGGTTGGATGCTTCACAGCTTCGTCTCTGTGATTTGTAGACTAATACCGAGCCAGTCTCATACCTTGGTAGGTCGGTTCAGTTCATCCGTCATTTCCTCTGGGTGTGGGCCTTTTTCAAAGTCTGGCCTATGACCATATCAAGTAGTAGCGGCTGCAATATGCACCGGCTTATCTCGAGTGGATCGGATAGCTGCTGACTTCATGTAGCACAACAGGCGCTTACTGCATACAATAATTCCAAAGGAAGATCAACCACCGTTTCAGTCTCGCGAGACAAGCTTTCATATGACTATTACAATGGGCAAGAGGCCCAACGTGGCTGTCATTGGTGCTGGTCTATCAGGCTTGAGATGCTCTGACATTCTTATCCAGAATGGTGCCCGGGTGACACTATTCGAAGCGAGAGACAGAGTCGGCGGCCGGGTGCGTTTGAGAAATGTCTATAGTTAGAGTCAGCGGTTCACTAACTTCCAGCAGGTACATCAGCAGAAGATCCACGAACATCTTATAGACATGTAATACTTCCTGCTTCTTCCTCCTAGCCATAATTATGTTCTCTGGCGTCGATGCTGACACTTATCAGGGGCCCGAACTGGATACATGGCACTGGGAAAAACCCGATTGTCGCAATTTCAGAAGCAACAGGGACAGTGCTTGAAGACTTTGAAGGGAACCAGGCTCTGATCTCGACAGAAGGCAAGGCAATCGACGATGCACTAGCCGCTAGAGTATCAGCGGTACTGTGGACGACCATTGAAAAGGCCTTTGAGTATAGCAATACGCATAAAGATATCATTCCACCTGAACGAAGCCTGCTTGACTTCTTCCGCGAGGAGGTGGAGAAGACAGACCTCAGCGCTGCCGAGAAGGAGCTTTGCATTGAATCCTGCAGACTATGGGGAGCGTACGTCGGTGATCCAATCGAGAGACAGAGCTTGAAGTTTTTCTGTCTTGAGGAGTGCATAGATGGGAGTGAGTACCACCCTCATCACCACACGATGATAGCGCCCAACTAACCACATCAATACACAGATAACTTCTTTGTGGCGTCGACATACAAGAAAATTCTCAAGTATGTCTCTCAAAACGCTCTCCGACGCGCAGATATTCATTTCAACCAGCCAATTGTCAGAATCGATTCTGAATCCCGGAAAGCCATGGGATCTCCCAGCAAAGTGAATCTCACAACAGCATCAGGAGAGACCTTCCAGTTCGACGAAGTAGTCGTCACCTGCCCACTCGGCTGGCTCAAACGCAACAAACAAGCTTTCACCCCAGACCTTCCCCCTCGACTTAACCAAGCCATCGACAGCATCTCCTACGGCAGACTGGAAAAAGTCTACGTCACATTCCCCCGCGCATACTGGCACGCCGGTCCCGACGATCCCAGGACCGCCGACATCCTCAAAACCAACCTAGAGTACAACAGCTTCGAGAACCCCACATTCGCCCAATTCCTCAACCCAGAATACACCGAAAAACCGAACGACATCCTCTGGAACCAAGAATGCATCTCCCTCGCCGCTCTCCCCACCTCCTGCGCACACCCCACTCTCCTCTTCTACACCTTCGGCCCCTGCTCCACATACATTGTTTCCAAACTACAGGGCCTCGACCCCTCCTCCAAAGAATACTTCAACTTCCTCAACGACTTCCTCCATCCCTTCTACTCCCGCCTCTACGGCTACTCAGACTCATCTCCTGACTGCAAACCAATCGCCTTCGCCGCAACGCAGTGGCAAAACGACCCCTACGCAGGGAACGGCTCCTACTGTAACTTCCAAGTCGGCCTTACCCAGGGAGATCGAGACATCGAGGTCTTGCGCGCGGGCATGGGCGCAGACCGCGGGGTCTGGTTCGCGGGCGAACATACAGCGCCGTTTGTGGCGCTGGGTACCACGACCGGTGCGTATTGGAGTGGTGAGCGCGCTGCAGGCCAGATTTGCAATCTGTATGGGTTGGGTAGGCTTGGTATTGGGTTGGAGAGGGACGATTCGTTGCCTTCTGCTACGCCGAAGGGGCTTTTGTGATGTGAGCCTACTATCCCTTCACTACGAGTAACTTGTTTAAGTTGAGACGTTTTGGTTGTTTTTGGGTTGCTTTCTTGTTTGTTTGATTGCTTCGCTAGTTTTTAGCCTTTTCCCCCCTCTTGCTATTTATCGAGATATATGCACATACATACGGTGGTGTTTGGTGAGAAATGTACGCGAAACTTGTGTGGTTGTTGTACAGCCTTAGATATGTATGGATTGCAGTTATAGCCAGCTAACAGTTATTTACACCCCGCACACCGGCCGCCGGCCAGCAAACAAACAGATAGACGCGGTGAATCTCAGATTCATAGTACATGAATGACACACAGAGCCGCCCCACGCACAAGTGCAATAGACGAACAGAGTAAGTAACACGAGAGACAAAGATAACAGGGGAATCACATATTGCTCTTCAATCCATGGATCAATCAGTCAACTGTTGCCCGACGATAAAACGAACAGTAGCGTGCAAGGATAAGAAGGCAACAGTAAGCGAAACGCCCCCAGATAGGTAGAATTGAAAATCAAAGTACCATGCGCCACGCTGGAAAAAACGACCCAGATAGGATAAGAAATGAAACTCGACTTGTAGAGCATCCACGGACCTGCGCGATTACCGAACTCTGCGGCCTTCCTGGATGAAATTGGTCGACCGCTGAAGATAAAGACGTGAAACGATAGAAGATATTGGGTATTTTCGAACTGAGCGCTTGATACATCGGGAAAAGAAAGGAGCAAGCAAAGGTAGCGAGAGGTTCAGGCACGAGGGCAATTTCTCCCGAAGTGGTTGGGGTTTGTTTGCCTGTGGTAATGTTTGGAACGCGGCGGACGCGTGCGTGTCGGGCATAGTGGTTGTTGATCGGTTCAGTATGGACGGGTCACCAGCCAGCTTGGTCCAAGTGATGCGTAATGTGAGAATGTCCGTGAAACGGACTAAAAGTCGTAGCAAGGGATTGATGCTGGCTTTGCATCGTATTCAATCTTCCCAGATCGTTTCCAGGTCCAGGTCCTGTCTACGCTCTGCTCCACAGACACTCCAACGTTTCCGCTTGTCAGCTCGGGGTCCGTAGCCAACCGATCCCGCCCGCATTGTCATTAGACCGCTGGAGGGGCCAGAAGCATCGGATGCCCCGCGCCTTCGATTGCCGCTGCTGGCCGCTTCTGCTTCATCCGCCTTATCTGCTGCAGCTTTCAGAGCCGCGATCCGGTCCGCCTCGATCGCAGCGGCTTCAGCGTCGGGAATGTCAGGGATAGTTTCCAATGACGAAATGCTCGGGCTACGAGACCGCAAGCTTGTCGGGGTCGAAGGTATAGATGAGGTCGAAGATGCCGAATAACCGGGGTAGGATTCGTTGTACCTCATGTTGTAGATCACAGGGGAGGAATGGCCGGACGGACTTCCCATCGAGTGGACGGACGAGCTTGGGCTCTGAAAATGAAGGGGGGACGACGGTCGGCGACGGTTGACGCGCGGTAGGGTATGAGAGAAAACCGGCGAGGTAGGGTAGTAGTCAATTTGAGAAGGAGAGGAGACAAGAGTAGTATCCAACTCCGCATGTTCTGAGATAGTCTCCGAGATATTCAGGGGCACCATTCTGGATTCTAGGCCATCTCCAGTGGTAACCTGCAATGGCAGATAGCGCTTGGCCGCCGGATCGCCCAGATTTGTTGAAGCGCCGCGACCGTTGACGAATATATATCTGCCCCGTGAGTCCAGCCCTGGGGACGAGTGGGCGCGCGTCATCAGAGGTAGGCCGGGGACCTCAACCATTGATCGTGATCGGAAATGGGAACGGGAAAAAGGAAGACGAGTCGGAGTTTGGACCGGCGGATCAGGTGTGAGCGACAAAGTGATCATGACGTTATCGCTGCATTTTGCCTCGCCGGGTTGCTCTGCGGCAGAGCCGGACGATGTCGAGTCGAATGAATCGGACGAACCAACGGGGCTTGGGGGAAGCATTATCCCCTCGGGAGGTGGGTGTGACGCTTCCATGTCTGTCTGCAACCAGGGAGTCGATCTAAACGGGCCTCATGCTGGTGGGCCAAGGGCGAATACTCTGCGAGTCACCACAGTCGAGTCGAACCAGGGAGTGTCACCGACCCGAATCCAAGTCGAATTTAGATTTGGCCTGGGGGTGCGGTAGGAGTGGAGAGGTCGCAGCTCAGGGGGTGGAACACGAACTTTCGGACTTGGGGGGAAATGGAGGGAACACAGGAATAAATTTGCCCTTTGCACTATTCCTCTCCGGACACAGCCGGTGTGTTTGTAAAACCCAAACCAATAACGTGGAGAAGTGCGATAGGAGGTAGAGAAGGGAAGGAGGGAGGGAGGGAGGGAAAGTTGAGTGGTGAGGTCAAGAAGAGATGGAAGGGGAAAGCAAGCGCTGAAGATGGATCGGGAAAACGAAAAGAAAGAAGGGAAGACACGAGGCGCTGCTCAGGCCCACCCGCCGCCACCTGACTTGCCTTCCCTCCTCTTCTTGCTTCTTATTCTTCCCTCCGCCCTCCACCCATCGTTCAGCTTCCCTCATCGTCTCTCACATGATGAGCATCGGAGCTCTGTCATGGCCATGCTGATCGTCATGATTCGATGAAGCTTGTGTCATTAATGCTGGCAGGTGCATCTATTTACTCGGCCTCTCTCAGTTTTCGGCAAACGCCGTCGGCCTAATCCGCAGCTGAAGGTACAAATTCCATTCTACGCCAGACCAGTTGACTACAATTTGATCAATGTACTTCTACAGAATATGTCTCGCCTTATCTCGCTTGATCTGGGGACAGTGTAAAGGGAGAAAATCTCCGACTCGAAAGATGCAGACCTGATTGGGAAGTCTGGGCCGGCCTAGACATTCCACATGCTTCCAGAACCACCACGCTAATGTAATGCATGCTGCATATCTACTGAAGGGCATTGGATTTGCTCAGCCACTTGGTCCCTCTTTTTTCGGTGTCTCCGTCAGCGTAAGCATGTGGTCGTCAACTGATTATCGCATTCGTATCGCATCCCTGCATCACGGAGCTTCAGGCACCCAGAGATATAGGTGACAAATGGCATGGCCTGTCGCGCCATTCCGACGTCCTGGCTTGAAATGATCGTCACGGAAGCGTCCGGATAGCCATGAGGCTCACCGGCCTGGCCCTACAAGCGAACGTTGATCGCTATGGCCAGTCCATATAATCCTACTGGAAAGATAGAGCAAATGGCAAGCGTTGGCCATCTCTTCAGTATTATTGTTTCGTGATGATTATGTACGAAGCGTTATATTGCGGGAGGCAATGTAATCTTACTATCATTATGGGGCTAAACGTAGTGAACACTGGTCCCGACCGATCAAGTCATTTAACGTCAAACCTCTGCGGTCATCAGAAAATGGCTATGTTACTTTGATATCTTTCTTTCCTGTACTGACCTTCTGCATCCTGCGCGTGTCTTCGGCCAGTTATATGCGGCTTTATAGTCGAGGTATATAGTATCATGAGCGCCATGATCTACAACCATGTCGCCGACTGAGAATCTATCTAAACCTCAGTGTCCATGTACATACCTTTCTGATTGAGTCGAGCCGTCATTACACAAGATTATTATTCGAGCGCCAGCGCGCGAACGGCTGCCTGTGAGCAACCCTTCATAGATGCTGTGCATAGTATGATGATCACATCAGTGCCTTGCTTTATGAAGCCGGGGGTTTGTGAACCATCCAGACTTACCTAAAACAGATGGCTCGGCTTGTTCGAGATAGATAAAGAAACTGACAAAGGCCTCTCCTCCGACTGTATACGCTAACACTTCTCAGCTTATTTGCACTTTGAATGTCAGAACTATCATCAGAAGAAGGCGAAGCTGTTTAATCTCACTTCACTAGGGCCTCTTGCCGCAGGACCATACCGTTCTATCCCCTAGAACCATCGTAATAGCCTTCCAGGACACGCTGCAAAGATTGCCTTGAGCCTCGGGCCCTGATATTCTTATTGTAAAAATGCCAAGCCAAGTCGGATATGCTGTTCTCGCTGCACCCTGGGATGCAGGCTGTTGATGTCCTTCCATGCAGTTCTGTTACATAGTGCTAATTATACTATTCTCATTCCTCCCGACCCGGCTCACTGTGTCAGGAACAAGTCCTTACAGCATGACCGGCCATATACAGCTGTAAAATACGGACTAGCTGGTTCGACCGATGCGCTCAAAATGAGACTCTCAGATATTTGGAACAACATGTTTTAGGCTGCATGGATGATCTTCCTGTGCTGCGACAGACCCGAACCCGAGCCCGTTATACGAACCCGAACCCGACAACGGCTCGGATCTGCCCCACTTAAGACTCCGCTCACTCTATACAACGACCATGGGCGCGCATCATCCACGCTGCTTTGCTCGTCTTTTGTGTCCCAGCGCAAATAAACGCAAAGTCAGTCTCGAAATAGACTGATGATCTTTCCTTGTATCGATAAAATGTATCGGATCGGAAACAATTCGAAGGCAACCAAATTTCAGCATTGGCCGTGGTATATAGCCTGAAGATGAAAAGGTTATAAAGAGCTCGTTTTGGCCGTGGCAATTCGCTATCCTTAAGTCAATTTGAACCAAAGTGTTGTGTATTTGACAATGAAATCTACCTTAGTTCTCGTCTCGTTGGCGTCCTCTGCCTTCAGTTCATCCCTCGTTGGTCTTGGTCAAAGAAGCATAAATGCAACCAGCACAACCGCCGTTAGCACTGTCGACTTGGAAACAGGCGCTAGGTGTGCCTGCAAAAAGCTTGCTATATCATACTCAAACTTGTTGATTTACCCTGGGTCGGCCAACTACACCTCCCAGGTCACGAGCTACTGGGACATTCGAGCAGACCTTGACCCGGCATGCATCTTTCTTCCTACTTCAGCTGAGCAGGTAGCTGATGCTGTCGGTCTCTTTGCCACATGCGGTGCTCAATTTGCCGTTCGTGGCGGAGGACATATGAATGTATGAAGTCCCCTAGCGAGAAGCCTGTATCCTCGTTGACACTATATGCCATCTAGTATCCCGGATCTAACAACATTGACGGCGGTGTGCTTCTGGCCTTCGACAACATGAAAGAATATCAAGTGAACAACGATACTATCGATGTCGCCCCAGGAATGACGTGGTATGATGTGTATTCTGCGCTTGATCCATATGGTCGTGCTGCGATCGGCGGACGCCTGAAAACCATTGGTGTGCCTGGTTTGACACTGATCGGTGGTGTATCCTACTTTATCAATAAGTACGGATTTGCCATGGACAATGTGGTCAACTACGACATCGTCTTGGGAAATGGCACGCAGGTTGCCGCCAATGCTACTTCGCATCCAGATCTGTTTTGGGCTCTGAAAGGAGGCGCGAACAACTTTGGCATTGTCACCAAATTCACCCTCAAGACGTACACTATGCCCCATATCAGCACGACAATCCAGGAATTTAACGAAACAGCAGTCCACGATTTTATTAAGGCATCATGCGACTGGGTTGTTGCCGATAGTGACAGTTCAATTGCCGCTGGATCCGTTCTAACCATCACCTACAACGCCACAACTGGAAGCGTCTCACCCTTACTTTTGGGAGTCCAAGAGGGTATCAGCAATCCCCCTTCGAAATTTGCCAACTTTACTGCTATCCCTGGGGTGTATAAAGTCAACAATGTTACGACCTCGAAGCAGTGGGCTGCGAATCTCGACTCTCCCAAGCAAATGTTCCGGTAAATGCCCGCTCACCCGTAATGTTTTCGGCCGCCAGAGAGCTAACCACGTAGTAGCGTCACCTTTGGCCATCACTCAATGTATCCCGACTCTGACGTCTTGTACTCAATGTATCAGACGTGGAAGGCAGCAGTGAACCAAATTGCCGATGTCCAAGGTCTCTACCCTACGTTCGTAATCAACATCTCGCCTGCAAGTGCTGTCAAAGTAGGAAACACCAACGGGATCGGTAATGTCTGGGGACTAGCAGAGGAGCCTACGATCTGTGAGTTTCCCTCACCAGTACTCAGTAGGACCTGGCATCATGCTAACAACCTCTCAATAGGGTGGCAACTAAGTACAGGTTGGGACAACGCTGAAGATGATCTTCGCGTCGAGGCGTGGGTTCGTCAGCTCGTGGAACATCTACATGGTGTCAACAAGCGCAATGGACTTGCCAGAGACTTCATTTACATGGGTGATGGAGGCGATTGGCAGGATCCTTTTGCTGGATTCCCTGGCGAGAATGTGCAGCGGATGAGAGAGATCCGTGAGCGCTATGATCCTCTGGGTACCTTTACGAGGTTGAACTGGGGTGGGTTCAAGCTTGGTAACTAAAGGGTAAGATTACGGGGATGGACGACCTTATTGTAAAGATGGGAAGGCAGTGTCGCTTTCTTGGTTGGCTGTTGTTACTAGATTAGACCGTACAGTCTAGTGTTGGGTAGAAGGATGATTTGAGCTAGACCAAGTATATAGTATTATTTGTATAATTCAAGTTGAGGAATGAGATCTTTATCTGATCGAGAGCTCCTGCTTGCACTATGCCTTGTGAAGAATAGAGCGTGTTGCCCCAATATCAAAAACTACTACTGCCTTCTATCAAAAGAATTATTATGATCGTCTAGCTGTCGGTCAATTCGAATGGAAAATCTAGTGTCGGATTATCTGTAATATATTTTCTACTATACAGAGCAAGATGATACTAGTAGTGGGGAAAGGAAAAGTCTGGAGACATATTCCTCACACATCTTCACCCTCACGCCTCAAGCTAAGTTCCTCAAGATCAAGACGCTCATGATGAACGCCATCTTGCAGAACAATAGACGGGTGAAACAAATTCATGGTCATCATGACCAGAAACATCATCGACGCGTCGAGAACATATAGAAAAACTTCATGGCTAATCACATAGCCACTATTACCCTGCGCAAACTCAATAAGACGGTAAACCGATCGGATGAGGATCAGAACGCTGACGAAGTAGCATGCGAATAGAAGACCTCTCCAGTCCTTCGGCAAGCACCTTTTTGCGGAGCTCATTGTCTTATCTGATTCTGCTGTAGGGTTGTGGTTTATTCTGCAGTGAAAGGTAATGGAGGCAATCAAAAAGGCTCCGAAGAAAAGTAGCTGCACGCATAGCCCC